TTTTAATTTTAAGCTATTCAGTGTTCCCATGTTCTGTTCGAACAGCTGCTTCTTGGTCCAGGTACAGATTCCTCATGAGCACAATTAAGTGTTCCGGAATATTTATTCTTTGCAATGTTGTCCATAGCTTATCATGATCCACACATGACAAAAAGAGATTGGGATAAGAGTCTTATGATTCAATAGTGAGTAATTGTTATCATGATTAATTGCAATTGTCAAATCTGTAAAGGTAGAAGTTTTGTAACAAAAATGGGGGAGTAGTTAATATTACATTTCAAAAACAGTGGACCCTAGGATTATCAAGGGAGAAGAGCACAAGTGGAATGTGGAACTCTCTCCAGAGAAGCAGTGACACCAGAGATGGAGGTAGAAATTAGGACATGGAGAAAGGGAGCAGCTGAGGACTCTAGATTCAAAGAAAGAGAAAGGCTATGTTTGGTGGCCATGAGGCAGGCTTGCAGAATGCACTCTTTGGTTGTTTAGATGATTATACATTCCTGAGTGTTTCTGTGTACATCCTTCCCCCCTCAAAAAAAACCAAAAAAGCCAGAGGGAATAGAAGCAAATACTGTTGAATGATGATGCATGGAAGAGATTATAATCATCGCAATGAAACGATGAGTGTAAAACTGATGTTCTCCCATGTAAACTATCACTAAATTCACAGTAAAAACTTAAAAAAAAAAAAACTCCACATGACAAATGTGTTCTGAAAGCCACTCAGTGAGGGAGAGTTATTTCTGTACATGCTGACTTGGTCAATGGATCTGTTGGGCCTTTTATCCACCCAGTTAGAAGTTCAGGTTCGATCATCAGAGCCTATGGTGTTTATGTGGGAGACCAGTCCATTCAGGCCACTGTCAAGCATGTACAAAGGTGCTCTCAATAAGAATGCTGTTGTTGCTATTAAGTGCCGTCGAGTCGATTCCGACCCACAGCGACTCTGTATAGGATTTCCAAGAAGCAACTAGTGAGCTTGAACCACCGACCTTGTAGTCTTAAAATAGTTTAGCTTGATTCAAAATAAGTTCCCCAGCCTTTAGAGCAGTTGGAGCTCAGACTGTGAAACCCCAGTTGTTCTAGGATGTAGAACCTAAGTGAGTCACCGCTGTGCTATTAGCTTGCTTGTAGCCTTGAACAGGTCCTGCCAGTGTATGTAATCTTCTTGGCTAACTGGGAGTTGGTTATGGGAGTGTGGGGCTCCCTCGCCTACCTTGGGAGTAGGGAGAGGGCTGTGTGGAACTGTAGGATATCCTCATTCCATCCCTGCCCTAGGCTTTGGTTACCTCTGTAGAGAGACCAGGAAAACCCCTCGTTGTATGGACTCTCTATTTCAAAGCATTGTTTTAAGATTTTTTCTGGCTTTCGTCATGAGGTTTTTGCTACAGTGACAGAGTGTGAGTACAAGTGTTTCAGGAACAACTCATCCTCATTCCTAGAAGTGCTGATATAGACAGATGTGCTTTTTCCAGTAAAACATGAAGTATCCCTTAGGGCATCTGCTTAAGTTGGCCCATTTCCGTTGCTCTTTGAAGAACCACATTCACATCAACATGGATAGCACAATGGCTTCATTTTCTTAGGCAAAGATCATCATTTTAACCCTGCTGGTACCAGACCAGAGATTCACAATATTTTCCAGGCTTCTATGAAATTCAGAAGGGACTCTTGTTTTGTTTTGTGTTTTCATTTCAGCTTCATAGTCTACAGTCCAGTGAAACAGCCACTTTGTGGCAATTTAAGATTAGATAATTAATCCTCAAACACACTGGCCATGTTTCTAGTGTCAGTGGGAACCTAGGACTAGTGGCTACCTTCTTAATGCAGATGATAGAATGTTTCCATCACAACAGAATATTATTGAGCACCACTGTAAATATTCCTGAGTTCATGAGTGTGGAAGGGAACTTGAAAGCACTTAGAAGAAAGCTGAGAAAAAATGGAAGTCGTCAGGATTTCAATTTACTTGCATCCACAATCAAGGCCCATGGAAGCAGTACTCAAAAAAAAATCCAACAATGTATTGCATAGGCAAATCTGCTGCAAAAATCTTCTATAAAGTATTAACAAGCAAAGATGTCACTTTGACAGGTAAGGTGGGCCTGACCCAAGCCATGGTATTTTCAGTCACCTCATAATCATGGGACAGCTAGACAATGAATAAGGAAGACCTAAGAAAAAGTGATGCCTTTGAATTATTGTGTTGGTGAAGAATATTATAATACATTGAACTACTAGAAAGATGTTGAAGATGTAAAACCGAAATGCTCTTTAGAAGCAAGAATGGTGAGACTTCATCTCACAAAGTTTGGATGTATCAAGAGAGACCAATCCTTGGACAAGGCCACCATGCATGGTAAATCAGTGGGTGAGCAAAAAGAGGCAGACTTTCAAGATGGATTGACACAGTGGCTGCAGCAATGAGCTCAGACATAGAAGGCTGTGAGGGTGGCCCAGGGCTTGGCAGTGTGTGTTCTGTGTGCAGAGGGTCACTGTCAGCTAGAAGTGACAGGAAAGCAGCTAACAACAACAAAGGGAAACGTGAGTGACAAATGATGAAACAAACATAAGCTACCACATGCTTACCTGATGCTTTTATTTTTGAATGTAATAAAATACTTCTAGTGTAAATGTGCCCTTATAGCCATTTTCAAAAATTATCATTTAATTATATTCAAAATGTTATGCAGCCATTATCACTGTTTCTAAAACATTTTTGTTACCCCAAATAGAAACCCTGTACTCATTAAGCAGTAATTCCCCATTATCTGCTCCTCTAGCCCCTGGTGGTAGCCTCTGATCTACTTTGTTTCTATGCAATTGCTGATTCTGGATACTTCATATAAATGGAATCGTAAAATTACCTTTGTGTTCCTGACTTATTCCACTTAGCATGTTTTCAGGTTTATCCATGTCATAGCATGTGTCAGAACTTTCTCTTTATAATGGAATAGTATTGTATTATGTGTGTGAACTGCATTTTCTTATCCATTCATCCTTTGTTGGGCATTTAGTTTGCTTCCACCCTTTGAGCATTGTGAATAATAGTGCAGTGCTTACTGCATCCTATTTTCATGGTAAAACATTTCTCAAAACAATTTCTGATTTAAGAGGAAAGACTTGAGGTTCCCAGTGTTAACACATTCCATTAGGAAATTGTGCCCCACTCACTCTGAGCTAGTCAGCTGTTGGTCACCTTTTATTGTTCATCATCAGAACACAGTTGCACTGCTTAGCTCCTTCCTGCCCTGACTCCACACTCCTGCTGGAGGGTGCCCAGCTTAAAGCTAATGCACTTAATGCTTTCTGAGTTAGTGGGAAAGAAAGTTCTTACCACTCTTGGTTTGCCATTTGGGAAAAAAGTGATGAACCACAGGTCGGGTAAAAGGAGATGGGGATAAGATTCTTAGGATTCAATCATGACTAATTGCTATTGTCACAACTGTAAAGGTAGAAGTTTTGTAACAAAAAGGGGGAATAGTTAATCTTACAGCTCAGAAACAGAGGACCCTAGGACCATCAGAGGAGAAGAGCATGAGTGGAGTGTGGGACCCTATCCAGAGAAGCAACGACACCAGAGATGGAGACAAAGATGAGGACATGGAGAGATAGAGCAGCTGAGGACTCTAGACCCATGGAAAGAGAAAGTCTGTGTGCTGGTGGTCAGGAGGCAGGCTTGGAGAATGTGCTCTCTGGTTGTTTAAATGATTATATATTCCAGAATGTTTTTGTGTACATCCTTCCACTTAACGCCGCCCTCCCCCCCAAAAACAACAACAACAACAAAAAAAAAACCCCACAAAAACACAGAGGGACTAGAAGCAAATACTGTTGAATGATGATGCACGGACGAGATTGTAATCATTGCAATGAAACGATGAGTGTAAAACCTTTATTCTTCCATGAAAACTATCACTCAAATCACAATAAAAACTTTTTTTAAAAAGTGATGAATCAGAAGCCTGTCTAGATTGTCTGCTGCTGTCTTTTCCTTTCTGCCTGAAAGGGTCTTAGCAGCAGGACCAGGACTAGGTGAGGCAAGCCAAATGCCTGGGATGCAAATTTCAGGTGCTGATCTTACACTGTGAGCAAATGTCTCCTTACATTTTGCACCCTGGGTGCCTCACTTGCCTCACCCTAGTTCAGGGCTGACTCTCTTCAGGACCATTTTATGCTTGTTGACAGACTTGCTGCATGGTTCTAGAAACTGTGGATTTGTCAGAGTTCTTTTAGCACGTACAGCACCATACCATGTAGATACCTCTCCCAGACTGTATCTCTCAAGTAGGTTCTATATCTGTTGGCTCTTTGTACACCTAGCCAATAGTAGACAACATATATAAGTGGCTAATGAATTAAGTCATTCATCCAGATATCAACTCAGTGAATGCGACATTTTCTTGCCTTAAAGTTTCCCAATGAGAGTTCAGACAATGTCCTTCATTGTTACCTGCCAAGTTCCACAGTCTGGCACAGCTGAACTCTTTGTACACACCGAAGCTGAGTCTTCTCTCAGTGTAACTATGGGTGGGTGGGTGCTGTAGTCCCCATGGCCCTTCCCCAGAATCCTCTCTCCTTTAACATCAGGTCGTTACTCCACTAGAAATCCTGTGTCCAGGTATGGGTTCTTCTCTTTTTCATCCTTTACCCCTATGTCCCCCAGAGTTCCTGTCCACTAGCTTCTGTGGCACAGACTGACTGTCCTGGAAACACATGGCTGGGTCTGGGTGTACTGTAGTTGATTTGGGGAAGATTTAGGGTATTTGGAGTCCTGGTGTGGCACTATACAATAAGCACTGGACCTCAGGTCAGTTTGAACCACAGGGTTGTTGGCTCAAACCCACTAATCACTCCTTGGAAACCCTATACAAGGTTGCTATGAGTTGGATCAGACTCAAAGGCACTTAACAACAACAACAGGATAAAGAAGCAGTTGTTTGAGATTAGAGGCACCTTCATAGACTCTGTGTTAACATGCTTCTCTTTGCCTCCCACAGAATGTGTTGAAGAAGAGGGACCAAGTGCAAGCAGAATACGAAGCCAAACTGGAAGCTGTGGCTTTGAGGAAGGAAGACCGCCCCAAGGTCAGGGAAGACACCTGGCAGCCGTGGCCTGGTCTGGCCTGATAGCTCTTGTCCTGCATAAGCTGGCTGCTAACTAAAAGTTTGGCAGTTTGTACCCACCTAGCAGATCCATGGAAGAAAACCTGTAGATCTGCCTCCATAAAGATTATAGCCAAGCAAACCATGTAGAACAGTGGTGCTCTGTAACATGGGGTTGCTATGAATTGAAATCGATTCTATGGTGCATAGCAACAATAGATCCATACAACTTATGTGATCAGTGTCGATGGGCTATGTTGATGCTTCTTCTATTTTTGCTTCCTTTTATGACTCATTTCTGAGAGTTTCACTTGTGCTTTTGGGGCCAACTTCTCTTTCTTGGGATTTTTTTTAAAACAAGTCTTTCAGCTCTGCCACTCACTGTTAAAATGTCATTGTAGAGAGAGAGGAAGAATAGTCTAGATCAGTGTTTTCCAAGTGTGATCCATACGTTGGTCCACAAGCAATTACCACTACAAGCATAGAAACTGAGAATGTATGTTGGGAACTTCTGTAGCAATTTGGCATCATAGGATCAGTGGACTCATAATATGTAAGTGTTGTCAAACTGGCTCAATGAATTGCATGGTAAGCAAGCAACAGTCTAGTTCTAACTTGCCTATGATGCCTTCTAGCTCCAGTGCTCTGGGTCCGTATGGAGCATCACAGTTGTAACATTGCATGTGTTGTATTGGTAACTGTTTTTCTCTTCCCCTACCAGGAATAAAGAAAAAAGTAATAATGGCCAACCTGCAAGTGATTACAGTGGTGCTAAGCATTTTATTATATTGTCTCATTCCTTCTACACAACAGTCAAGGGATTTGGCTTCCATTATTAGTCCCGCATGAGAGATAAGTAAGCTAAGGCCCACAATCACACTGATAGCAACTGATTGTTGTTGTTATGTGCCATCGAGCAGGTTTCAACTCATAGTGTCCCTGTATACAGGGTTTCCAAGGAGCAGTTGGTGACCTTGGATCACCAACCTTGTGGTTCAAACCGACTTTGCAGTCCAGCACATTAACCAGGAATATATCCTGTAGTCTGACTTTAGAACCATTATAGTACTCTGGTAGCGTAGTGGTTGCAAATTGGGCTGCTAATCTTACAGTCAGCAGTTCGAAACTACCAGTTGTTCCGCGGGAGAAAGATGAGGCTCTCTGCTCCCATAAAGATTTGCAGCCTCGGAAACCCTGTACAGGGTCACTATGAGTCGGAACCAACTCCACGGCACTTAACAACAACAACAACAACATAGTGCTCTGCTGCTTCTATAGTTTGTAATTGGAAGTTGTATTTATTTAGAGGTTGTTGTTGTTAAGTGTTACTGAGTTGGTTCTGACTCGGGACCCTATGCTCAACACAACAAACCACTGCCTGGTCCCGCCCCATCCTCATAATTGTTACATTTGAGCCCATTGCTGCAGCCACTTTGTCAATCCATCTTGTTCGCTGACCCACCACTTTACAAAGCATAATATTCTCCAGGGATTGGTCCCTCCTGATAGCATATTTTCTGTGAGAGACATGTTTTGCCATCCAGGCTTCTAAGGAGCATTCTGGCTGTATTTCTTTCAAGACAGATTGATTTATTCTTGTAGTCTCTGCTACTTTTAATGTTCTTCTCCAACACCATAATTCAAATGCATATGTTCCTTGTTCATTGTCCAACTTTCACATGCATATGAGACAATTAAAAATACCATGGCTTGGCTCAGGTGCACCTTCGTCCTCAAATTGATGTCTTTGCTCTTTAGCACTTTAAAGAGGTCTTTTGCAGCAGATTGGCAATATATTCTTTGATGTCACATCTACTGCTTTCATGAGTGTCGATTGTGGATCCAAGCAAATTGAAGTCTGACAACTTCAGTTTTTTCCCATTTATCATGATGTTATTTATAGTTCCAGTGGTGAGGATTTTTGTTATCTTTACAATGAAGTGCAATCCATACTGAAGACTCTATTCTTTGATCTTCATCAGTAAGTCCTCTTTGCTTCCAGCGAGCAAGATTGTATCATCTATATATTCCAGGTTGTTAATGATTCTTCCTCCAATCCTGATACCATGTTCTTTTTCATATAATTCAGCTTCTCACATCATTTGCTCAGAATATAGATTGAATATATAAGCAATGCTGGCCCACACCTTACCTAATTTCAAAGCATTCAGTGTCCTCTGGTCTGCTATATATGTACAGGTTCCTCAGGAGCACAGTTAAGTGTTCTGGAATACCTATTCTTCACAATGTTATCCATAGTTTGTCATGATTCACACAGTCTAATCCTTTGCATAGTCAATGAAGCACAAGTAAACATTTTTCTAGTATTCTTTACTGTTAGCAGATCCAGCTTACATCAGCAATGATATCCCTGGTTCCACATCTCCTTCCGCATCCAGCTTGAATCATTGGCAGATCCTCTTCATGTAGTGTTGCAACTGTTTTTGAATTATATTCAGCAAAATTTTGCTTGTATGTAATACTGATATTGTTTGATGATTTCTGCATTCCATTGGGTCACCTCTCTTTGGAATGAACACAAATATAGATCTGCTCTAATCAGTTGGCCCAGGTAGCTGTTTTTCACATTTCTTTACATAGCTGAATGAATACCTCCAGTGCTGCATTAGGTTGCTTAACAATTCCTTTTTGTATTCTGTCAGTTCCTGGAGCCATGTTTTTCACCAGTGCCTTCAGTGCAACTTGGACTTCTTCCTTCAGTACTATTGGTATTTGATCATGAAGATGGTTTCCCCTTCAAATGGTTAAACAATGACCATTTCTTTTTGGTACGGTGACTCTTTGTTCCTTCCATCTGCTTTTTATTTATTTTTTTAAGTTTGTATTGTGGATTGAGTGATAGTGTATATAGGAGAACATCAGCTTTACATTCATCCTATTTGTATTTCGTTTCATTGTAATGATTACAATCCCCTCCATGCATCATCAAACAACCAAAGGGTACACCCCGTAAGCCTGCCCCCCAGCTGTCAGCACACAGACCCTCTCCCTCCCTGAGTCCAGAGTCCCCAGCTGCTCCATCTCTCCACATCATCATCTCTGCCTCAATCTCTGGTGTCACTGCTTCTCTGGATAGGGTCCTGTCCTCCATTCTTCTCCCTTGATGGTCCCAGGGTCCTCCGCTCCTAGACTGCAAAATCAACCACTTCCCTCCTTTTGTTACAAAATGTCTACCTTTACATTTGTAACACTCACGATCAGTCCTGATAGCAATTTTTCACTATTGAACCACAAGAATCTTAAATCATTATCTCCTTTCACCAGCCCCGTTCAGACAGGTTGGAAACCACTCAGTGGAGATACTACCTTCCCCAACACCCTCTGAAACTAGGCTCCCTCTTGAAAGTTTGTAAGCCAGTCATTTCATGACTTTGTAGCCGCACCCCCTCCCCTCCATTTTGGATAGCCAATGTCTAAGTTGCCCATCCCTGTCAACCCTGTGTACCGAGGGGGTGGGAATGGTCCTCGCTGTAAAGATTCATTCCCCCTTTGAGCTACTACACCCATAAGTATAGGTCAAGTTCATCAAATTGTAGCGAAAAGTGCCATGGGCTGCCCATAGAACCAACATATCTGTGTTGGAGGAAGTGTAGCCAGAGTACTCCTTGGAGGCTAAGATGGCTAAACTTTGTCTCTCATACTTCAGACATATTGTCAGGAGGGACCAGTCACTTAAGGTTATCATGTGTGGTAAGGTGGAGGGTCAGAGTAAAAGAGGAAGACCTCCAATGAGATGGATTGGCCAAGTGGCAGTATCAGTGGGCTCAAGCATGGCAACAATAGTGAGATTGGCCCAGGATTGGGCAGTGTTTCGTTCTGCTGTGCATAAGATCGCTATGAGTCAGCACCAACTTGATGGCATCTTAAAACAACAACTCTTTTTTTCCTCCTGTTTCTTCCGCTAGTCGAGTTCTTATCATCCAGCCATTGAAGCCAGGTCAAGTGGGTACCATCTGCAAGTATGGGTGTTCTTGTGCATCTCCCTTCACTTCATATCAGCTGGATGTGGCACTCTCCACTCTAGTCCTCTGTGGCCATGTTCCTGTCCATAGGCCCAGGAATCCCCAGATCTCGCCATACTGCTGGCCAACCAGGTCTCAATCCAGGTTGACAGGAGTCTATTGAACATGGTCAGACTTAGCTCACAATTTCATTGCTGTTTTTCCTTCACTTCCCCTTATTTGGTAGACCAATGTGGTCACCAGCAAGACCACATGCCTGTTCGTGTATTCCCTTTGAATCTCAGTCTTGGAACGGGGTTTGCCCTAAGGGGACCCGATCACTTACCTTGATGGCTCCCTGACAAACAACTTGCTTGTTCTTGTAGTAGTCAATTGGACTGCTGTTTCCTGCTAGTCTTTATTTCAAGAAGTATCTTCTGTTCTTCTAGCCCCTTGCATCTGCTTTTGATGCTTTATGCGTTATTCAGTATTTTACCTATTGTTAAGTGCCATCACGTCGATTCTGACTCATAGCAACCCTGTATAGGATTTCCAAGGAGCAGTTGGTGGGTTTGAAGCATTGACCTTGCAGTTAATAGTCCAGTGCTTATCCTACAGTACCATACCTATAGGAGTTTTCAATTTTGGAAGTCAAGCCTTGCTTGTTTTGTTCAATTCGTTCAGCTTGAGAAATGCTGAACATGCTCTTCCCTTTTGATTTTCTAATTCCAAGTCTTTGCACATTTCATTATAATACTTTACTTTGTCTTCTTGAACTGCCCTTTGAAATTTTGTTTATCTCTTTTATGTCCTCATTTCTTCGATTCGCTTTAGCTTCTCTACACTCAAGAGCAAATTTCAGAATCTCTTCTGACATCCATTTTGATCATTTCTTTCTTGATTGTCTTTTGATAACCATTGTCTTTCTTCCTGTATGATGTTCTTGATGTCATCCCAGAACTCCTGTGGTCTTCGGTCTTTAGTGTCTAATGCATCAGAGATGTTCTTGAGATGTCTCTT